ATTGGGTAAGGATCTAATTTCATCTTTTATTAATTAATTTAATCATTTACATTGTTGGGGGGCATATTGTGCCATGGTGCACATATGAAGGTTCCAGGACAACTTGTGTGAGTCAGTTCTCTCCTTCCACTATGTAGGTCCCAGGGGTAGAATTCTCAGGGTTGTCAGGCTTGGCGGCAAGTGCTTTTCCTACTGAACCATCTCACCAGCTCCCAGTATAATTGTTCTGTCTTTGGACATGCCTTTTTCCAACTCCACTTGTTGCATAGAGATGCAACAAATTGATTGATCCTGGCACATCTGTTGAGGATCACCTGATTATATAGTCAAGATTTATTTCTGGATTCTCCACTCTGTTTCATTGGGTTGTATTTCTGTCTTTATGCTACTACCATGCAGTTTTGATGACTTTAACTTTGGAATGAGTTTTGGAATTAGAGAGTGTGAGGCCTTGTTTACTTTCAAAACTGCTTTGGTTATTGAAGGTTCTTCAAGGAAACTTAAGCACTCCAGGGTAGACATTTCTATTTCTGCAAAACAAAAATCATTGTGCTTTCACAAGAATTGTGGTAAATCTATAGATTGTTTGGGTAGTGTTGACATTTTAACAACACTGAGTCTTTAAGTTACAAACACAATTCTTCCATTTATTTTTTTTTTCATCTTTCATTCTTTTCATCTGAATTTTAGTTTTGGGTGTATGTGTCCTTCACTTCCTTCACTGGCTTCCTCTTAACTGTTATTACTTAGTTTCTGATGTTATTCTAAGTAGTATTGTTTTCTTAATTTCATTTTGAACAGTTTGTATTTGGTATATACAAATACAACTGATTTTTGTGTGTTGGTTTTGTACCGCAAAACTGCTGAATTCGTGTGTTGCTCTAACAAGTCTTCTGTGGAATCAATAGAATTTCATTATACCAAATCACATAATCAGTAAATAGAGATAATTTGGCTTTTAACTTCCCAATCTGAGTGATTTTTTTTTAATTTCTTTTTCTTGCCTGGTTGCTCTGTGTAAGAGTCTCAACTCTCTGTTAAATGGAAGGAGCAAAAGCGGTTCTCTTTCTTTCTTCCTGATCTTAGAGGGAAAAAAAGAACTTTCGAGAACTGAATACGGCATCCATTTGTGGGGATTTTATATTCTCTTTAGAAGTAGCTCCTTCTCTTTCTATGTTATGAACGTTTTTATCCTGAAGAAGTATTAAATGTTGTCAGTTACCCTTTCTGTGTCTGTTGGGATGATGGAATGGTTTTGGTCCTTACCCTGACGTGTGTTATCAGTTGCTTTACATATGTTGACCCTTCTTTGCATGCTTCTTCCTGTCCTGCTTTTACATGTTATGGAGAAGTTCTGTGTTCATAGTCTGACCCCATGGGAAAGGCTTGTTGACTTGAGTTAAATGTTTCATAAACCAATGGTGAGGCTATTCATCATAAATACCTAACAAACACTATTTACCCACAGTTCTCAGGCGAATCCTCCAGTTTTGTGTGCTTCCCCGCAGTAACATGAAATTTTACATCCCGAGTAATACTGAGAAAGCTATGGAACTGTTTGGTTTGTCTGAGAAATGGATAAACCAGATACATCTGAAAGTATCAAGAACTTAAGACCATGTTCTGAGCTAGGCAATGATATGGCAGGTGCCATGCTAATGTCTTTTTATGTGTTATATTATTTAATTTCCCCCAAATAATCCTATTCTCAGGCATTGTTTAGTAGATTAAGAGACAGAATCTAGGAGATATTAACAGCAGAAGCGATGAGAGGAAGGTTCTGGCTCTAAAATGCTGACCTATATTCTCACTTGCTGCCAGCTGTACCAGTGTGGATCCATAAATTTAACCTTGGGTGCTCTTTAGACTTAAGAATTCAATCCAGTACTATAAGCCCAGCAGCTCTTCATTATAACAAACTCCCCAAAACAGGCGTAGAATCAATTAGAATCTTCATGAAATTATAGACCTAGCCTTTCCTGGCCTTTTTCCGTAAAGAGTCCACCCCTTACTTCCCAAAATAACACATTGATTATTGGATTGACTACTCATCTTTCAAACTTCAATATACATATGTTGTCTTCTTTAGAAAGCATTCCCTAGGCCCAGTGGGCTCAGTGGACCCTCCTTGTGCTCCCACAAGTCTTGTGCCTGTCTGAAGTCATGCTGTTGACTCATAATCTGTGCTGCCCCTGTCTGCAGACACTACATCAGACAGTCTTGAAGACACAGACTGGCTCTGAATTCTGCCTCACCCAAGGCTAAAATTCAGATGTGCTTCACAATATATGTTAGGTGAACTGTGTCTAGAACTAGCCTATCTGCTCTGTGTTCAGGCCTCGTTGGTTTAGGTGCGTGTGCTCACTTACCACTCTGAGCAGACTGTGCACCGCAGCCGCCTACTGTCTGTCCACCCGGATGAGTATGTGTGATTCTTACATTGACCCTTTACTTCCCAAACCTCACAGAGTTCTGGACTTCCCATGGGCACTCACATCACAGGGCCTTATCTTATCACCTTCTGTCACTCTGTAGCATTCACACAGGTCTTCCAGTGTTGTCAAGGTCACACAACATTCAGAGACCGAGAGACCTACACCTATGACCGAATGGCCTCCCCCCAGGCCTAAGCAGTAAAAATCCGGCTTCTAACTTCCTCCCCTGAGACACACATGATCCTGGCATTCTATATAAGAGAGAATTTCACTGGATGCACACCAGCTCCAAATCAAAACAGCATCTAGTTTCAAAGCATGTACATCCCTCATGAGTCCACCTTGGACCATCTCTTAACCAAGAAACAGTCCAGTGTGAAGCCATTTCTCACTAACGTCTGTTTTTTGTTTTCTAGTCATTCTTGCTAGTTCCCCTGATTAAACTATCACTTTGGGGCCAGTTGCTCAGATCTGGTAGAAAAGAAAATTCAGTGAAATTTGAGTAAATGAACTAGATGATGTATTTTAGACATACATTTTCAAAGTCATCACGACCCAGAGAGACAGACACAGGAACACATGTTCTGATGTTACACCCGTAAGAACTGCCAGAAGGAGTGAGGCTGCCTTACTGTGGAGCATCAGGGATGTGTATGCTAATTAGAAGAACCACACAACATAATTTCAATGCCCTAAAACACACACACACAAAGATTATGCCGAGGAAAAAAAACTTAGAGGTTTTAAACATTTTTTAATTCTGATCTTCCTGCTCGAATGTGAGCAACATGATGAAAAGGCCCTTGGTCCATGCTTTCACATCTGGTCAATGGTAACAACCCATCAGTCAAGAGACTATACACACAGCAGCGTTGAGGATGTGCAGGACATTATACTTTAAAAGATGCTTCAGGCAAAATAAATATCAGTGTTATCTGAGTCAAAGCTGATAGTAGCCATGACTGTTTCTGTGAGCTATATCGTGAGACAATTGCTACCATGGTACCCAGTGAAAGTCGTGGTGCTAGATCACGGTCTTTGACCTAACAGATACTTTAATCTTTGTTGTGGTACAGTATGGAAAACAGCTACTTATCAGCTATGCTGTCTCCATTACTGAACCAGCTCTGCAGGTCCACACCGACTGGGTTTGTCCTGCCCTGGGAGGAAAATGGACTTGGGGGTGGGGGGATGTGATTTGTCTGTATAGGAAGATACACATTCAGAAAACGGCTCAAAAAACTGGCAAGAATAAAATTTCCACATCCTCAAATGCAGAGTGATTGTGAAGAAAATAACTCATAAAGTTATTAAAGATTGACAGCATGAAAGAACTTACAGATGATTGACTGCACAGCATCAAAGAACTTACAGATGAGAGAAGTCTAGGGTAACCCGTTAAAATATAGTCACCACCTCTGTACCAGAGTGGCGGGAAGCATTGTTGCCTACTAAACCCCTTAGCCTGAGGCTACATCAGCCTCCTGTTTCCAGATGGCTTCTGGAAGCCATCTGCATTTTCCTACCATCTGAACTCCCTGTACTCCATTCCTTTCTTAATATACTTTTAATGAGGTGCTAGATACTGTTTCCATATCTTTCTCTAAGTATGTGGCTCAGATATTGATGGCCATTCCCATCCCAAGCTTCCCCCTGGAAACTCCCAGCCTAGTTCTCATTCTCCTCACCTGTCTCTCTCAGTAGCATCACAATCTTGATGGCCTTGGTCAACTCTTACCACTCTCGCCTTCTCCTTTGTCTTCTACCAAAGTCCTCCTGAGTGTAGCTGAAGCAACCACACTGCTTGGACTTGTTCATATTCTGACTCAGTAGGTTTGGCTATGATTTAAGAGTTCTGTATGTGAGATATTCCTAGACCCAGCTGCTATTGAGAACCACTAGTTGCCTCATAACTACCAGGCCTCCATGATCCTCCCGGGGCCCCCCCCCCCGCGCCAACTCTGTGTGTGTCTTTGTCTCTTCTCTCTGTCTCTCTCTGTCTCTGTGTGTGTCTGTGTCTCTCTGTCTCTCTCCCCCTCCCTTTCCCCCTCCTTCCTTCTCTCTTTGTCTGACCCTCTCTCCTTATGATCTCAAGTCACGACATGCTAATTGGGTCTCTGGTGCACACACTACACCCCAGCCAACCTGTATCTGCCCTCCATGTGGAACTGTTGGAAACACTAATGACATTGGCTCTCTCTACCTACTTCAGGACTTCCACGGAAAACAGAGTCAAGACTCCTTAGCAGGACATTAGATTTCCCCATCCCTTCATCCCCAAATCCTGCAAACGTACCTGCTCCAGCTTCCCACTATAGATTCTATTCCAATGAGCCGAATATTCTACCCACCGAACACCGTCTCGCTTCCTGTATTTCTCTTGGGGTGGGGTTGCTTAGCAAAGCACAGAACTGGGACCAAATCTCAAGCCTTTCACCGGCACCTTGCGTAGGCTGCGCAGCCGGGCCGCTCCTTGCCACGCGTGCTCCCAGGGGCTCCGGCTCCTGCGCCGGGAAGGGTCACATCCGGCTCACCTGCCCCACAGGCAGCCAGCCATCCGCTGCCATGGGTGCCTACCTCTCTCAGCCCAACACGGTGAAGCGCTCCAGGGACCGGGTTAGCACCCCGCGGCTCCCGCTACCCTACAGCTTCTCCGCCATGCAAGGCTGGCACATCTCCATGGAGGATGTTCACAACTGTATTCCTGAACTGGACAATGAGACAGCCATGTTTTCTGTCTACGATGGACACGGAGGCGAAGAGGTTGCCTTGTACTTTGCCAAATATCTTCCTGATATTATCAAAGATAGAAGGCCTACAAGGAAGTCAAGCTTCAGAAGGCTTTACAAGATGCCTTCTTGGCTATCGATGCCAAGCTGACCACAGAGGAAGTCATTAAGGAACTGGCACAGATTGCAGGGAGACCCACTGAAGATGAAGATGATAAAGAAAAAGTAGCAGATGAGGCAGATGTGGACAATGAGGAGGCTGCATTGCTGCATGAAGAGGCTACCATGACCATAGAAGAGTTGCTGACACGATATGGGCAGAACTGTCAGAAGGGCCCTCCCCATACCAAATCTGGAACTGGGACAGGCGATGAACCAGGGCCCCAGGGCCTCAATGGGGAGACTGGACCTGAGGACCCATCTAGGGAAACTCCTTCCCAAGAAAATGGCCCCACAGCCAAAGGACACACAGGCCTTTCCTCCAACTCGGAACATGGGACTGAGGCAGGCCAAATTGGTGAGCCCGGTACTGCTACTGGTGAGGCTGGACCTTCCTGCTCTTCAGCCTCTGACAAACTGCCTCGAGTTGCTAAGTCCAAGTTCTTTGAGGACAGTGAGGATGAATCAGATGAGGTGGAGGAGGAAGAGGATGACAGTGAGGAGTGTAGTGAGGACGAGGATGGCTACCGCAGTGGGGAGGCAGAGAACGAGGAGGACGAGGAGGACGAGGAGGACGAGGAGGACGAGGAGGACGAGGAAGACACGGAGGAGGCCGAAGTGGATGATGATTCAGAGATGATGGTCCCTGGAATGGAAGGCAAAGAAGAGCCTGGCTCTGACAGTGGCACAACAGCGGTGGTGGCTCTGATCCGAGGGAAGCAGTTGATTGTGGCCAATGCAGGAGACTCTCGCTGTGTGGTGTCTGAGGCTGGCAAAGCTTTAGATATGTCCTATGACCACAAACCAGAGGATGAAGTGGAGTTGGCACGCATCAAGAATGCTGGTGGCAAGGTCACCATGGATGGACGAGTCAATGGAGGCCTCAACCTCTCCAGGGCCATTGGAGACCACTTCTACAAGAGAAACAAAAACCTGCCGCCCCAGGAGCAGATGATCTCTGCCCTTCCTGACATCAAGGTGCTGACTCTCACTGATGACCATGGATTCATGGTCATCCCTTGTGACAGCATCTGGAATGTGATGAGCACCCAGGAAGTTGTAGACTTTATTCAATCAAAGATCAGCCTACATGATGAAAATGGGGAGCTTCGGTTACTGTCGTCCATTGTGGAAGAGCTGCTGGATCAGTGCCTGGCACCAGACACTTCTGGGGATGGCACAGGCTGTGACAACATGACATGCATCATCATTTGCTTCAAGCCCCGGAACACAGTAGAGCTTCAGCCAGAGAGCAGCAAGAGGAAACTGGAGGAGGCACTCTCCATGGAGGGAGCTGAAGAAAATGACAACAGTGACAAGAAGAAGGCCAAGCGGGACTAGCATTCGACCGGACCCTGCCCACTTGGACTGTTTTCTGAGTCCTTGGACCCAAGACTGAGTTTTGTCCTTTTCCTTTAGCCTTAGCAATGGGTATGAGGTGTGCGGGGGGCTAGGTGGCTTCCCTCAGCCCATTCCAAAGAGGGCCCTCCCTCTGGGCGTGGCAGCCTGAGAGCCTCCCCTGTCCTCTCCAGCCTCCTCCTTAGTCCTTGGGCTCATCGGCTATCGGTTCTGTGCCTGTGCTCTGTTGTGTTGGAGGGAAGGACTGGTAGTTCTGATTTTTACTCGGTGAACACTTTATTTAAGGACATTCTCTTTTATTGGCGGGGAAGCCAATCGTCTGTCATCTTGAGCTCACTGTCTTCATCATCAGTGGTGATAACGCTTGAGCCTGGAGTTATCATATAGTGATGACCAAGGGAAGATGCTGTAGAGATCCATACGCTAGTTCATTCCACATAGAAAACTGTGCCCACACTTGATAGCTGTCCCCTTGTTCAAGTGGTTCCCATCTACTCTCAATGATATGTATAATATGCACATCGTCTCAACAACACAGCCAATGGCTACGGCTACATCTTCAGCAAAAATTTCTCTAGTTGATGTGAGGGTTAGCCCTGAAATCTCCACTCCTCAGCCACCCAATCACCCGAGAAGCAACAAGTTGGAGTCCAGTGCTGATGGGGTTGGCAAGTGTTTGTGTGCCTTGAACAGTCGGAAACTGTTCTAGGCATTCTAGTCTTAGTTAATTCAAAATGACAGTCCCCAGAAGGGCTCAGTTCTCCATGCCAATCCCCAAAACACCAATGCACGTACTTCCACCTTCAAAAGTGGCCTCAGCGTTGTGGCCTGTTTGCTTATGTGTAGCTCTGAACTAGCAAAATTACATTTCTTTTTATATTTAATTCACTCCCCCGAGGGGGATACATGTTTTGAAATTAATTTTCCTTTGTTTATTTATTTTAAGGCTTACCTCCCATCCCTTCGGCTTCCAGAACTGGCTTTGCGGAGTTTTCCATGAGGGAACGCATGAGGGAGAAGCTTCAGGCTGCAAGGGTAAGACAAACTGTGGCAATGTTCCCTTCAGGACTGATTGGAGTTTGTCAGGGCAAATCTTGCTTGCTTTGTATGCTCCAAACTGTGTGGAGCTGAGAGCCATTCCAGCTGTTCTTCAGGTCCTAAAATGTTAATATACGTAGCATTGGTGAAGAAGAAAATTATATCGGAAAATGGCGATCAGTCTTCTAAATGATTTTCCTTGCTCTGCTCTACAGAGGGACAGTGTGTGATTATTGTACTGATTCTTCTTTATTGAGGTGGCAGCTGAGGTTCTCTGATAATTCATTATGTGTAATACTTTCCTGTTTGGTTTTTAAGTCCAAGGCAGAAAGCGCATTGTTGCGCGATGTCCCCACACCTAGGCCCCGGCGCCTTCGCAGTCCCAGAGAGAGGGAAACAGAGACTGAATTTGGTACAGAGGTAAGAAGTGGATTCTTTCTACTTTAACATGAGCCCCCCCAACCCCCACCCCTACTGTCTGACCCTAGTTTCCACTTCCGTAGAACAGAGACAAAAGTACACCAAATTCTTGATATTGTTTACAGACTGAGTTAACATGAATTAACATTGTTTCTTTCAGTAACAGACACAGGTAGGTCCTTTCAGACCAGAAGTTTTTTAGTTTTTTTTTTCCTGAACTAGATCCAAGGCCTTGAGCATGCCAGGCAAGTGCCCTACCGGTACCTTGTACCCATAGCTTTGCTTCATATGTGTTCTCTAAATATAAGCTGTCCTTATAAGCTACAGACAGAGAGATGAGAATATTACCAAATCTGAACACTATCCAAAATCAGAAACAACTCTGGATCCAGGGGTGCTAAGGGCCATTCAATCTGTTTAGGCAGAAGACACAGCTCACAAAATAGCCAGACCTGATGCTCAATGAGAAAGATGGCTCTTGAACTCTGGATCCTATGCTGAACTTTCACTTGATCATAATTGGTGCTTTTCTTTCGAGACTGGAAATGATCTTCTGTAACATGATTTTTGGATCAGCAGAGCAGGGATAAGTAAGAAAACTTTTGGCCCGTCTATCTTCAAGTGTATTTGAAGTCTGAACACTGCAGCCTATGGAAGGACAAAATAATCAGAGAGCAGAAGACAAGCTGTTAGATGACGGCTCTGGTTTCATTCCTGTTGCTGTGATAAAAATCTCTGACAAAAAGGGAGTTCAGGGAGAAAGGGCTTATTTGACTTATAATTCCAAGTTACAGTCTATCATTGTGGAGAAGTAAAGGTGGAAATTATAATATCACATCCACAGTGAAAAACAAAGAATAAATGCACAACTCCTTCCTTGCTTGCTTGCTTCTTATACTCATCTAACTTTCCTTACTTTTATATAGCTCAAGATCCCCTGCCTAAGGAATGGTGCCACCCACGGTGGACTTTCTCCTCCTACATAATCCAGCATCAAAACACAAACACACACACACATACACACACACACACATACAGAGAAAGAGAGAGAGAGAGAGAGAGAGAGAGAGAGAGAGAGAGAGATGTCCAGAGGTCAATCTAGTCTTAGACTCTTTACATCAAGTGTCTTTCCAGGTGATTGTAGGTTCTACCAAGTGGACAGTTAAGCCAGCACAAAGGCTAACCCTCAACTTAGAATACTCTCAGTTTCTAGACTTCTTTTGGTTTAATATGTGTCTTTTTTTTTCCTTTACAAAGCCAAGTACAGAGGTGCAAGGCACTCAACAAGAAGATGACACCCAGAGTTATTCAAGAATTAAGTTTCGTGATTCTGTACGAAAAATCAAGTCAAAACCACAGGTTAGAAACTGTGTTTAAAATTACGTTTCTGTTTTCCAAAAATATCTAATCATAGATGCATAACTGATTCCCATTGCCATGCTGAGAGAGAGAGAGAGAGAGAGAGAGAGAGAGAGAGAGAGAGAGAGAGAGAGAGAGACCCCATTGTGGAGAGGGAGGAGGGGAGCTATGAGGACTGGGAATGGTAATGAAGAGAGATTGTTCAGCTTTTAAGTTGCCTCAGCTTTTATGATCGAGAAAGAATGACGGTACCAACTCAGGAACAAAATAAATAATAACTGCCACTTGTTACAATGAACAGATCCCGTATTTCTCATTATTAAACAAAACTATCTCTGTATTGGCCCATTGAACAATAAGCACGGTGCCCAATACCTTAATAATCTTTCCAAAAGCACTTACTTTTTTTTAAAGATTTATTTATTTATTTTATGTGAGTGCACCATTACTCTCTTACAGACACACCAGAAGAGGACATTGGATCCCATTACAGATGGTTGTGAGCCACCATGTGGTTGCTGGGAATTGAACTCAGGACCTCTACAAGAGCAGTCAGTGTTCCTAACCACTGAGCCATCTCTCCAGCCTAGCACTTACTTTTAAAATACTGTATTTTTATGCTTACTGAGATGTGATTATATAATTGTGCATAGTTTTAGAAGGTAGAGCTGGAGAAAGATGGCTCAGCTACTAAGAGCATTGAATGCTCTTCTTGAAGACCCAGGTTCAGTTCCTGACACCCACATAGCCACTCACAATTATATGTTACTCCACTTATAGGGAATCTGGTGCCCTCTTATGGCCTCTGTGGGCACAGCATTCACATGGTGCACATACATGCAGGCAAAACACTCATACACATAAAAATAATATTTTAAAAAGTAACTGGAGTTACTTATTTCAAACATTCAATAACTGCCTGCTGCTCTTGTCAAAATTCATGGCAAGGTGGTCAGGAGTTCTCCAAAAACTACACTAGCATTAAGCCAGCTGTCAGATAATTACATGGGGCTCATTCAGTCTTCCCAGCTAAGCTGCTGCTGCCTGTTTCTCTGCAGCCCCCTCCTGGCTTCCCATCTGCAGAAGAGGCTTATAATTTCTTTACTTTCAACTTTGATCCTGAGCCAGAGGAATCAGAGGAAAAAGCACCAGTTAAAGGTAGAGACAGAGCTCGTGAAGAGGAACAAGAAGGAGAAGAAGAAGGAGAAGAAGGAGCGCAGGCTCAAGAGAGAGCAAAGAAAACGGTATCTGATACAGTGATGGCAGTGAGGAGGGGGAGAGTGGGAAGACAGATGAGGGTGGGACAGGGCTGGAGAGTAGCTTGGACAGCTTGGTTGGAAGCAGGAGAACCACTAAACAGTGAGAATTGACCTAGCATGACTTTCTGCAGCCCTTGACACAGCCCACAGATTGGACAGGCCTTGATTAAATCTGTCTGTCTTTTCTTGAGCAAGAAGAAATAAAGTAGTATAGCATGGTTTGAGGGATTTCTTGCTAGACTCAACATTTTGCACATAAAGTACTTGGCTCCAGAAGGCAAGGAAACCTGCCTCTCTCCTATGGGTTTACCAGAGAGTCAGGTTTTTGCACCAAATACCACCCCTGAGTATAAATTATACTTCAGAGATATGAGCCCTGGTTCTTTGAGTAAATGTACTGGAATAAGCATCTTCTAAGGCTGCAGGCCCTGTTAGGATTACTGTTGTTTGGGTTTTCACTTCTGAGTTGGCTTCCTCTGTTGTATAATTTTCCAGGTAGCTGGAAGGATAGCATAAAGCAACCAATAATAACTCACTTGTGAGCTATAAAAGGTCACCTTCATGCAAAAAGACACAAAAGGGAAATACGATTTGTGTGTATGTATGCACAGTGTGTGTGCACAGTGTGCGTGTGAGTTCATGTGTGTAAATGTGGGTAGGTATGTGCCACAGTCCTCGATTGTATGTCAGAGGAGATCTTCCGGTGTCTCTCCTCACCATATTGATTGAGCCAGGATCCACAGTGTTTGTTGACTGTATGTGGCAGGCTAGCTGGCCAGTGAACTTTCAGGGCTTCTCCTGTCCCAGTTCTCAGTGGGAGTATTGCCATTACAGATGCTTTTGTTACACCTGGCTTTTATGTGGGTCTAAGAGCTTGAAGTTTCCTCCTGCTTTTATAGTAAGCAT